GCGAGATATGAACGTTAAATTGTAACGAGATTCTATTTAGTACTATTTTATAAAGATAGACTTAAATTTTAATCATAAATCCAATTAAAAATAATGTTTGGCTATACTTCTACTGTAAGATTTAGTGTTAATAATAAAATAGAGTATTTGTAAAATGACGAACTTCAATCTCCATTTATTTTAGAATCGTAAGACCTCGTACCTACTCCCACTGCTCGACAGAGATCGCATGTGGTCCGGTCCCGAGTTACAAGGATTAAGTTTCTTGACTCAAAATTCGGACCGACGTTCGCACTGCCCGTTGGAAACAGGTGTTATAGCGTCCCTTCAGGACGTTGACCCATATTCCAGAGCTATAAAAGGTGCGTTCGACTCGCTCTATCCCCTTCCCGCGGATGCATGCGAGACACAGCGTCTGCTCTAACGTCCTTCCTTGCTCCAACCTTATTACTCTTTCTTTTTCTAAACCTATCCGCACACATGACCGGAGTTCGGACGTAACACTATGGTACACTCCGTTAATATCTTTTCTAATAGAATCCGACTTAAACAGGAGCAATGGAAATGCGTGGAGATGTGGCTCAGGATCATGCGAAAGAGATCATGGACCAAAGCTCTTCGGCTGCACTCTCTATTTCACCGATAGAAGGTATTATAACACATTTACCAGACTCATTTTGGAGAGTCTTGGTAAGAATGTGTCCCCTAGGGCTTCCAACTCAACGAACTTCTATAATAATAGAGGCCACTCTCACAAGGGTCCGCCGTCGGCTCCCTGGTGGTCCCTTGAGTGCGAGGAAGTGGTCTAAATTCGCTCTCTAAGGCTTAAAGCGTATCCCCACTATGGAAAACTTCGAAGCTTATCGGGAATCCGTGCGCCAGACTCGGAAAATTCTTCGTCGAGCTAAGAGCATAGGCTGGAAAACCTTCTGCGCAAATTTGAGCCATCTTACTCTGTTTGCGGAAGTCTGGCGCATGCTCAAACGTTTCAAACACCGCCGTTTGGCGCAGGACGATGCCCCTAGACCTGAATGCTCACACGACTGCATGACTAGAGCACAAGAAGCCATTAATAAATTCTGCCCTCCCTCATGCTCACCCCCCACTTCGGTTATTTCGGACTCCCTTTTGATTGGACTTGCGTGGCTGAATGCTCCCTTCATCAAGGATGAAATCAATGCCTTTACTCCGCAAAGTCTTCTTCTAGCCCTGGTCTTGATAGGATAGACTACCGCCTCATCAAAGCCCTTCCCGATCAGCTCCTCGATTGTCTCCTCTCTCTCCTTAATCTCCTCTTC